AACAAGTCTTTTTTTCGCCAAACAAGAAGTTGTCCCTAGTGACACCTAACTTTCTCTTACTTCCCAATTCCGAACTGCTGTACGATGTGTTGGGCAGCGGACATCGAATGACGTCAGACGGTGCTAATCAGAGTGACCTGCACAGACCATCCTATGGCCAGTCTCATGCTCGAAAAATAACAGTGTCGATTCACAAGTAAGCTTCTCTTCTTTCGGTGCCGCGTTGCAACTTTAAGTTGTCCAGCTAAAGCAATTACAAGAGCACATTTACGCGAAATCTGGAGGACGAGTGATACATTTAAAAATTAGAACATCATATACCAAGACAGTGACAAATTCTTTGTTGACACAATTACGGTGGCTGCATGTTAATCGTGGAATTATGTGTTTCCCCAGACGAGCCAACCACATTATATCGCCTGATATACAGCGGCAGATCACAGCCGATTTTCGCAGCCTAGAATCCAGCACAGTGAGCGATGCTTGACCAAAGCCACATGAAATCATTCTGTACATAAATAGCAATGTGACAATTTATCCCGTTGCAATATAATATGTGCATCTGGAAATTGTGTAATCATCTATTTTAAGCCAGGTGACGTCCAAGGCTGAATACCCAAATTGATCCCGACATTCACCTAGTTAAACATAGAAATCAGCTTGTAGTAATCCCCACCCAACGCAACAATCACGCATGCACTGGTCACATTCGAAGAAGTAAAATCCAGATGCGTGGATTTCTCGAATAAATTCAGTCTCTATCAGGAATTACACAGATGAACACCATAGATGAACCCATCATCTCTCCGAGTGGCAACCACTCCCTACATTTAGACACAGAATCAAAATTTCATGAAACACTAGGTTGAACAGAGAAAACCTTTTTTAGGATTACTTTTTTTGGAAATTGACATTATTCATTCAGGGACCGAAATGTTCTCCCATCCACCGCAGAATTTTGAGTTTTGTTATAGAAACAAATCAATTTGGAGATATTGCAGGACATGGATTTATTCGGTGTTACTGGCTTTCGTGTAATGATTCTCTCTCTCCAGTTTGCCTGGATAAATGCTAGCAGATGGAAGTACCTGAGAATGATTGAAGTGAGCTAGCATTAGGCCGCTCACTGTACATTTTTTCCACTTCTTCACAATCAGTTTTGTTGGAGACGCTGCCGGATATGATGCTTAATTGATGTATCTCGCGTTCATGTTGTCAGTCTATCTCCAGGTCGCCTGAACCAATGCATGGATATGCAGGCACCTGACTGTAGGACGCTCACACCGAGTCCATTCATTGGCTTCATTTGTTGCTTTTTTGACAGCTACGCGTTCAAACATATCATGGTCGTTCCCCAGGAAGGCATCAGTAGCCAACACTGATATCAGTGTGTCACCGATCGTGATGAAGAACTTGATGAGGACGATGAGGACGAGGAGGAGGCTGAGGACGCTGATAACGACGACGATGACGGTGATGATGGTGATGATGGTCACGGTGATGATGGTAACGAGGTCGGTGATGGGGATATGTGACGACAGCATGTTGATTGTGTTTGGCCGTTCGCTGAATGTCAAATACAAGTTGACATTCAGATCATGAGCCTAATGGACATGGGCACAGAGCAGAATGAAGTGAAACGCTCTGCCATTCTACACAATTAGAAGATGAGAAATACATCGACAATTCCTGTGGGCTTGCACTTGTAATATTATTTCAGCTAGCAAGCGTATCCTTTGGAACATGGTTAAAGTTCATCTCACCCGTGAACGATTGCGTTCGGAAGTTCAATCTAGCTTAGGAACTCAACCAAACTCGATGGTTAAGGCTGAACGCATTGGCTAACTCTCAATCAGTGGGCTTGCACTTGTGATAATATATCAACTAGAAAACTTAAGCATTGGATCATGGTAAAGTTCATCTCACCCGTGAACGACTGCTTTCGGAAGTTCGAGTTACCCGAAGAACTCAAGTTAACTCCTTGGTTAGGGCTGAACACATTGTTTGACAGTCATTACGTGGACAATCCGCAATTCTTGCAACATTTTTCCTCATTTCTCAGAGTTCTTGGTTAGGCCTGTTCCATTTGAACCACACACGACATGATTTTCGGTAGGAAAGAACCTATGCGGAGTACGTTCCCCGAAAGAGGTCGTGGACGATCGGTTATCTGGTCATTCGTAGGACTGGGGTGCAAGTGTCAAATATGTTCAGCCTAGAGACACTGAGTAAACACAGAATTAATTTTTAACTCTGACCGGTGAGTGTTGACAGAAGATCGGGCATACCAGAACGAGCCAAGTGAACAGTGAGGGAATCACAACAGTTGCTGCGGCTGAAACGGTATTTCCATCATACGTCGCCTAGCGTTGAACTTTATGCATTTATTGATCAGTTTCTGGCTGTGGCTTCAATGGAAAAACTCAAGTGTGGCTTCAAAACACAATCCAATGACCGTGGATTGCACAGGCGAATATAAACCCGAACGGGCTAAATCCAGACAAAAAAACTGGTTAAAAATATGGCCTAATAATGACAGGTTCCATGACCATTTCAAAGGTGTAATTATGCAACTGTATGTGGTACTCAAAACATTTGCCAATAAACATATTTTCAGCCGCTAATATCCACAATTTATTAAACCGGGTTTGAAGTTGACTCACGTGCACTCCCAGACTAGCGAACCATATGAAAACTCCGAGGAACTCATCAGTTAGGTGATCTTTGTTCACGACCGACTTGTAGATACACATCCAAGTTGTCGGAATCTGCTTTGAGAAAGGTGGCTGAAATTATACGAAGGAACTTCAAAAGTCACCCCTCAACTGGGTGAGTGGCAAGCCCGTCCAACCCGTAGGTACGCACAAAATTTCATGTAGCCTTAGTGTGAACATAGGAAACATTTGTGTAATTTTTACAAATGGACGTTATTTATTCGAAGCCCTGAGTTCTCTCACAACCATTGCGGATGCTTAAAATCTTTTTTTGAAAATAACTCAAGTTGGAGGCGCCGCCGGATATGGTTGTTAACTGAAGTCACTCGCTTTCTTGTCGTCATTCTCTCCCCATTTTGCTTGGAATAATGCTTGGAGATGTGGTCTGCATGCTGACCATGGTATCAAAACAGGTTAGGATGTTCTCGGAATCAGTTTTGTGTGGGGACCATTCAGAAGAGGACCCCGGACAATCGTGATCGGATTGATGTTACCCGAGTAAACGAGGGAGTATTTTCAAGTAAACACTATTTTCAGACAGTCTGTTTTCTCTCACATCTTTGTAACTGTATACTAAATCTAGCGTTATTATTTTTATTTCTTTGCTACATACTCCAGATGAAGTACATTATTGGGTATCCAGACCACTATGTATCATACAGCTTCAGTAAACCACTCACTGAAGGGCGTCACGATGGGAGATGTGTGGATTAGCAGTAGCTGTCGACATTTTCCTCCTGGATAAAACAACCAATCATTCACCAATGGCACACGGATATCCAAAGTCCGAGTTAATCGCTTGTTACGTGTCGATATTCGGTCGGCTTCAAGAGCATTGCATCGCGATACAAAACTGGTTATTTCGACGCAATCTACATGAGATTATTGTGTTACCGCTCACAGGCATTTACTCTATCACTTGCAGGTGTTTTGTGCAGCTTGTGGAAAATCTAGAACACATGTATAATCGAAGGTCTGCTCTAAAGTCAACATTTCATACGACAGGAATTGTGCGTTATGAAAGTGATTTTAATCAAATGTTATGCACTCTGTCTATTCAGTGTGAGAAACTAAGCAAAGTGGGACTCTCTTCAGATGGGTTTTCAAACTGTTGGCAGGTTCCACGACTACACCAGGGTGGATGGCGTCCCATAATGACTAATATCATGAGAAGTAGTCGCAATCTTTGTTGGATGTTCCTATGTTGGATGTTCTATGCAAAATAGTTGAGAATCATTGTCAAGCAGTTTTGTATTTACTGCGAATCACCACCGGTGTGCATCTCACGAACTCCAGGCAGTTTCGACCCGGACCCATGATGGCCCGGCTAGCGGTTCCGGCATTCAACAGTTTGGCTGGTCATCTATGTGATTGGATCTCGCTAAGGCAGGAACTAGCGCCATGATTATGGATAATGGGGCAGGAAAGTAAAACGCTCTCGTGCACCTTATTTGTGGATAACAGGATATCCGTTTTCTTATTGAACCCGTCCCCTCGTTAGATTCTTCATCTGGGGGGATAGCAGTTAGCGGTGCATTACAAGATGGATGGTCATTAGGAAGCGCCGGGATAATTGAAAAGGTGGCCGAGATATTGAATTGATGTAGAAGATGCATCACTGCAATTTTGGTTGACTGAATACTGCTACGCAAGCCGCCCAATCTTCTCTCCTGTTTCGAGAAGGTCATTTCAGATGTTCCAAAGAATTTCTGTTTCTGTGATACAGAAATTCACAAATTCGTGTCAATGGTTGATTTGCTTTCCCATCATTACTTTTAGAATTTGAAGTCTACAAATTTTATTGGCATCAGTAGGTATTCAGTACGACATTCGTAAATGACTGTAGCCAGTGCAAATCGTTCGTTCGGGTGAATATCAGGTGATCATAATTTTTTCGCAACACGACATTACTGATGGAGTTGGTTGAATTAGAATCTAGCTTATGTGTGCGGCAAAATTGCAACCAACCTTTTGGTCACTGCTTTCATTTAGTTCATCACAAATAAACTGACTGACTTCCAGCTCCGGAAACGAGCTGTCAACTAGTCATTTGTTGATCGATCATCGCTTACTGTGGTGACTGGCCGGTCTTTTATTATTGGTCCTGTACACCTAACGTGCGATATTACGTCAGATTTGTGAAAGCGTTTTGATGATGAAAACCTGAGAATCCGCACGATTTTACCTGAATTCCTAAGGTTCATGGCGGACTATTTGTTGACTGCCAGTTTGATGGAATAATGCAACCCATGCCTTTTAACGGTAGCGATGCACGATACGGAACAGTTGCAATTCATTTTATTTTGGCAGAATAACGCAACATAGTGCGTGTTCGTTAGGAGCAGACGCTGTGGACAGACTCGATGAGTGTTTGGGCCTCGTATCCGGCTTTGCACAGCTCCATTAGATGGACTGTGTGCTCAGCTATCTCTGGGACCTGAAAACGGATAGATATCATGATCGCAGCTAGGAAACCAGCTCAGGCATGCAAACGAAATATTCACCACGAATTCAGGATCATAAATGTCCAACGCAGGTTTGGACCAATGCCTAAGAATGCTATCAAAGTAACAGGAAACTATTTTCACACCATATTTACCCTAATCTACACCATCATAATCCAGCATTCCCGAGAAGGGTAGCAACTATATTAATAGTGGGGAGTATTTTCAGTGATGCACTCTGGGGGCTGAGCGGTTACTGGGTCCGAAATTAGAAAAAAAGTTACTTGTGAGAGGTGTTGGCGTGTATCACTATATGTGAACTTCAGACATTTTGAAGCATCTTGATATGAACTCCTTCACCCTAAGAAGAGACCACGCAAAAGTCTACAGCAAGGTGGCAGAAAAGTGGGAAAGTGTGAACCCCACGAAATTGTTCGATTTGAATAACTTCCCGAAAGCCAGTCACAAGACTGCTTAACAGCGTTGAGCACATGGAACCTTCGTCACGATTGCTAAATGTCAATTCACAAAAACAATCAATCATCATGGCGTGGTAGTCGGTTAAGCACGGCCAGCGGTACACTCATTCCAGCAAATGCAAAGGGGCCAGCCAGTTGAGCCGATTTATTGTAGTGAACTGAAAAGAAATAAACTGCTTTGAACTGAAGTTATCTGAATAAAACTGAACTGAACTGAACTTGAATGGAATGAAATGAACTAAGCTGAACTGAAATGAACTGAACTAAACTCAAGGTAAATGAACTAAAAATGAAATGAAATAGAATGAAATTAAAGAGCACGAACACAACTGGAATGATATTAGAGGAAGTAAACTTAACTGGAAGGAAATGGACTAAAATGAACTGTACCGAACTGAACTGAACTCAAATGAAATAAACTGAACTAAATTGAACTGAAATGAACTGAGATGAAATGGACTAAATTGACCGGAACTGTGCTGAACTGAGCTGAACTGCAATGATCTGAATTCGACCTAGCTCAACTGTTGGGAACTGAACTGAACTAAACGTGAGAGGTCTGGATTGGTTTGAAGTGACCTCAACTGAATTGAAGTAAAGAGATGTCGATTGAACTGGTCTGAACTGTACTGAACTGAACCCGAATCAACTGAACTGAAATGAAATGAACAGAACAGGAATGAACTGAACTGAAGTGGACTGAACTGAAGTGAACTGAAATGAACTGAACTGAAATTTAGTCAGTCAGCTTCTTTGAAGTCTTGTTATTCTTGATGTGATTACTTTTTCACTTCATGTAATAGGACGACATTTTACCAGAGAACTTCGGATTGTTCAGCATTACGATTAATCTAAACCACCCTCCATTTTCTATGATTCGCCCTGGCGATAAGAAGCATAGAGAAAATACTTGTCCGAAAACCGTCCCACAAACTGCCGAAGAGCATTGTTGGGAACGACCGTTCAATTTTAAGGAAGGAACGAGGGTGCTGGTGGTGTACGTATCAGAGTTGCCCAGTAATTTCCTACCGTAGGGGTCGTTTACCGGACGTTCAACTTGGAGTTCTTTGGGACTGCTTCTCGTCTTAAGTGACGCCAAGGGTGAATGAACCGACAACATGTTTGAACATTTGTTTGTGTGCAACACGAGTTCAACTCACCTGCTGAATCTTGAAGCAGTGCGTCTCGAAGTGATCGTATACGGCCTCGTAACATATGAGCTCATCTCTCTTGGACACGTCCTTTACCAATAGCCTCCGGTGGGTTGTCACATCCATGACAATGTCGTGGAACGCTTCCTTGACGACGTGGCCAAGCTGGAATAGCCACAGGAATAGTTTGGAGACTACTGATAGATTTCCCGCCCAACTAAATTGACCACGTTATATTTTCAGCTGGTTCAAAGAACGGCCTCCAAAACACTAAATATATTACCGTTTACCTGCCCCATGCATCCTAAACCCGTATCCTCTACTGAACAATTCAACCCTTACCTGGAACGATCTTTTCATCGGTCAATCACTTATCTCTTTGTGATAAAGTGTGTAAGAAAAACACTACAAACCTGAAGTGCACGGCGCAGTTTTCGAGAAGTGAATTCTTGTTCTTCCTCAGTTGTTGCCAACATCAGGCGTCGAGTCAGTGAAAACAAATGCGTCCGAGATGAGAGTTGTCTATCTACAACATTGGACTGGAAAGAGGAAAACAATTGAGCCACATTTGCGGTTAAAAATAAGCTCTGTTAATGCTGACTGGGAGAACGATCTTCCTGGATTACTCACTAATTTGGAAAAATTAACCTGACCATTTATCTACCAATCTGTTTATCTACCAACTGTCTATCTATCTATCCGTCTGTTTATCTATCTATCTATCTATCTATCTATCTACCTATCTGTCGATCTGTCTACCTACGTAGTTATCCAATACCCCGTCTCTTTCTCCTGCTGTCTACACCTCAGTCTATCTGTCAAGCTGTCCTTCTTTTTGTCTATTTGTTTATTTTGTATGACTGCACTTACCTATGTAAATATGAATTTTTCTACACGTCAGTTTATCTGAGAAGCTTATCTAACTTATCTAACAGACTGGGTGATACATAATTCAGATTCGTGCACCAACCACCCTTGTTCTTTTTATCGAGATGGAAGTGGTCCCCATATAGCCGAAAGTAGAATCATGCCCCAAGTGCCCGTTTTTCTAAACAAACGGACCTCCGCATAACACGAAAACATGTGGTTATAGCGACTAGGATGTTGGAAAGCGCTTCTATCACTAAAGTGATCGGCACATTCAATGCCAAAGCAACCAAAAATAATTCGATAGGTGTTGGACCTTGGGTGGTCACTTGGTTCTCCAATCATATAATGGCGTAAGTAACGACTGTTCCAATAGATAATTCAAAATGTCGAAAATTGCGCTGAACACACATTTGATGCCTCATCATTCCGGTGCGTCAGTAGATGATAATGACCTTGGAACATTGCAACTGGGAGACTTCCCATCGTCTGAAATGAACAATAAACAAATGCTCGTTAGTGTATTATCAACTCAGAAAGCGGCTTGTTCCATAAAACGAGTAACAGGTCTAAAATGCATCCATCGTTCTGCACTGAGGTAACAAGTGCGCAATATACGTATGGCTGACGCACATTCCGAATGTGTGCTTGGAGGTACTCGCTAGTTCAGGAAGAAGCGAGCTTTCTTCAATTGGTTGGCTGTCAGCTACTAAAAATCGCATAAATTATTTTAATGTTCAAACCACGCTTCCCAACATCATGGGCTAGAAAATTGGCGGAATCATAGCATCATTGTTTTCTATCAGTGCAAGTCTCTTACACACACAATGAGCCTGAATATCTGACTGAATCGTTTAACTCAGCTAGATAGTTCGCTGTAGACGTAGTAAATTTCTATATTTTAAACTTGAATCGCACCAGAAATGGTCTGCGACGTGCTCATAACAAACGTCTGTGTAATTGTGCACTTTCGCTTCAAGCCAACTAGCAGAACTTTCACATTCTATTGGATATTCCATCCTGTCGTTGAAGCCAATCTGTGTTGGGAAACCGAAGAGCCTTGACTAGATGTCCGATCGTTCCTGAGAGTATGCAACAAAACGCATTTAGCCAGTAGGGCATGAGGCACCGGGGATTTGCCGGCCAATGATTGATAACTTAAACGCTCAACCACAATAGCTTGACTAGCAGTGTGCTTGCCGTTTACATCGACACCGCGCAGCCCCAATGATCGTTCAATCACGGGAAACCACACCACGTTGTCACATATTGACTAGCTCCTCCAGTGATAAGTTCTCAGGTAAGAGCTTCAATTCTCATGTAAATGCATTATTCCTCTGAGTTACTTGTGGATGACTCATATAGATTTGAGTTCATTCTGTATCATATCACAGGAAGGTATAGATCACAAGGTATCCAACGCCTTTGCCTGGTTATCCAAAGGATGACATGTCGTAGGCCTGCAAATCTAGGTACCTGGACTAGCTGCCTTGCTGAACTTCGTTTGTGGAACCTGAAGCCCCTAGTCAGCTATTTTTGACGTTTGACGTCACACTTTGGTGGCAACAAAACTCAACTGTCAAAAATGCCCTCATTTTCATAACTGTCTGGCGTTTCACAAGTGACTCAACTGAATAGCTGCGTGGGTTTTTGACTCACCATATCACCATACTTCATCACGTGACTTTGTTCTGTCCGCTTCTTTACCTCCACGTACTGCTGATTCAGTGTGCGCTTTCTCAAGTCTTTCTGTGCGAGGGTGAATAGTAATGACAATGTAGGCTATGTGAAGCTGACGGATATGCTTACGCAACTTTCGAATGGATCCAATGGAGGCAAAAATATTGAAGCCACTAGAGTTATGAGGAATGGGTTACGGGAGGACACATACCATACCGGTGACCACCCCAGTGTTCCAGGACACCATACGCATACAGCACAAATTTTTCATAGAATCCTTAATTGCCTTCCGCCATGTCAAGTTCCATTCACCTCCAGGTTTATGACAATTTGGACTGGGCACGGATTAAAACACTCCCCTCAACAGAAACCGACGCACGAAATGACACACACTACTAATGAATCACAAAGCAGTCCGCTTTGTCAGGACCCTATACATATACACATGTTGAGGAGTTGACGCTCTAGGGCAGTCACCATCATCAACATTATCAGCGTCATCATCGTCAGTAAGGTCAACATCCGTCTTCAACACTGACACCTCCGTGCGTGCATTCAAAATTCATTTGTGGTCCCATTCAAAAGAGGAGAATTCAAATGGATGGGGAACGGACCTAGCACTGACCTAACACAATCTCCAATACACATGCAACCTCAGACACCCACTCAGGCGATCTGAATCTGAAATGACAACAACTCCACTAACATCAACAGGAAGGCAAATTTGCGGCGTTTTAACCAGTGACAGTGGGAATCAGGCGATCTCCATCGTAGAGCGCGAGTTATGCTGATAGCAATCAGACATTCGATATTTTCGTTCACATCTCTCTGCGAGGTCAGAGGCAAACCATATTAAAGTTTCAATGAGAAATGTTTGATATTCAACTAATGGTTTCATTAATTTGGTGTCCCGGACGATCGTGACTTCTGCATTTCCAAAAAATTTCATGTTTGAAAACGAATTTGGCGGTGAAAGTGGCGGTGGTGGTTGTGTTGGTGATGATGGTGGTGAACTGTCATGTGCGGCTCGTCTGCAACAGTTTTGATAAAACTCACGTGTTCCGAATCCGTAATCCAGGCATAAGAGTATTCGGTCGCAAGACATACAGCGATTCGCGGGTCTATACAAAAAGTACCATAGCTTAATTCTTCTTCGTTGGTTGAGGTTGTCACGTAGACTGCAATTTTGGGGGTTCAGACAAAAAAACGAATTAACCATTATGAAGAAATGCGTGAAATGGTTAGTTATGTTATCGACAAACTGATATCGTGGCTCACAGAAATTGTGACGCTACAGGAATTCGGAAGCTAACAGACTAATCGGAAGTTCGCTGAAAAATCTTTGACAAAAGAGCATGGCTTTCACGCTTATTGGGTCATTAGGAAACAACAGTCCTTGAATTCCCTCGATGATACTCAATTCTTGGAATCATTTCAGGGCGACCAAATCTCATCAGCATGTAGATATATCATATTTTTCTCGGGTGAAACCCCCATCAGAAGGGCCCATCGACGTGAACGAAACTTGTATTATACCTGTAGCACGATCCGTGGAAGTGTACTTTTTACAAACGACGCACGATCCGCTCATAATTTGCAAACACGGTATTCACCTGGGAACGATATTCACGGCAGAGGGGCCCCAAATATCACAGGTTGTGCACAGATATTGCAATGATGTCTTCTAACCACCTGAAACTAATTCAGCAACAGAGTTGACATTATTTGATGAATGTTGGATATTGTTCGCTACCCGGCTAGAGGCTTCTTGCAGATGGTCGGGGACTGTCTACAATCCAGATCACAAGAGAACAGACATGAACATTGCTTGCTAATTCGTTTTGTTGTACTAGCCATTGCGGTATTCTTCCATATGTGAAAGAAATTCGGGATGATATTTCACAGGATCCTCACGAGTTCTGGCCAAAAATACGCTACTTACCTCCGGCATCTGAAGGAAGGATATCGAGGAACATAGAGCCAGAGTAACAAGCATCCAAATAAAACACCAATTTGTTATACTTTTTGTTTGAACGCATTTTGACGAGGATATCGTTCAATTGCGTGGCAGTGAGCTGTAGCAGAGCATAAATGAAAAGAAAATTCGTATGAAATCGAAAGATCATAGCTTGACGTGTAGATATTTTGGAGGCACTTTCCACCAGGATTAGTTGAAGCTCTACGTTCGAATGCGTGTTGTTTCGTCCCCTTGAAGTTCCGTGTGTGATTGCACACAAACGTTTCAACGACAGTCTACAAAACTCGCCGTCCTCCTGCGTAGTTTAGCCAGCTATCCGGATGACATTGAGTTGTTTTCACTTGGATTGGGCAGGCAAGAGCCAATATCGAAATGAATAAGCTCGTAATCAAAAATTCAGAATGATGAGTTGTCGGTTTGTACGATTGATTCACTATCACTCCGATTGTCTATTTCACGGCCTTTTTCAACCATTTCCACATCCTATTCGCCGAGATAGACTTAAATGTTTAATGTGTGATAACATATTAAAACGACTACAATGATCAAATCACATAAATCCGTTCAGTTCAATGGGCTTCTATCTGGGTACATGTACCCTTGATATAAGGAATTGCAGGATAAGTCATGTACTGCTCGTTGAGTTGTGAAATGCCTTCGTGTATGTCAAGCCAATCTGTGAAGAGAAATCTGGCCGTAATCACATTTGATGAAGATTTAGGGTGATTTCTAATTAACTGAATAATTCCAAATATCATCTCTCTCATAATACACTGTAATTAGTGCTGAACGAAGAGTGATTCACAGGGCGAGTGGATATGCTGTGTCATGTCACTCAAGGTGTAAGTACCTGTGATGTGAGTCCCTTGACTGAAGGATGACCGACTTTATAGCCTGATTAACTGCGGATAAATCAGGTTGTCGGTTGCCCACCGGTGACCGAACGGTTAGATTTTGCAACTACAAAGCGCAACGCAGATGGTTAATGATAAGGATGGAACAGTTATACATTGTTTGTCGGCTTCCTCAAGTATACGGGACGGGGCCTATTCGTAGTAGCAGAGATTCGCGCTGTGTCCGGAGAAGTGAAAATGACATCTTGTCTTCCTATCGTCTACGCCGCATGAGTGACCCTATACGACCAGCTTCCTTGTATATCGTACCTCCGCTTGCTTAATAGTGTAGATAATCAACCCCGAAATCATGTTAGTTGAGCGAACTTGAACTTGGTAAAAATGAAATCTATATACTGTTAGCAGTATAGCACCTTGACGAGACCTAGCGAACTTGACAATGACGTCCGAAAGTCGTAGCTAATTTTCCTTCATTCGGTGTATGTGCAGGCCAGTTGTAACCATAAACTCTGTTTTACGGACAAACACGGGAGGCAATGCGCCCAATCACTCCGTTCTCATTTTAGCCTCTTTTCGAACATAACCGTGGTTACAAACGTTGTCGAAACTCACTTTTCCATTTGGGAAAGAAATATAGGCAATCGCACCATGGCCAGAGTAATAGATGAAAACGTTGTCTTCAGGACCGCTGCAAGTCAACGGGAAAGGTAAGGTGGTCTTAAAGGGTAGCTTATCTGTTGGGACTATTGCACATAGGGAAGCGCAACGAAAAAGCCGCGGAAATGGAAAGTCGAGTGCAACCTTCTCCAACAACATTGGCTTTGTCATAAGTTTCAGAAGCCGTGTTGTAATGTAAACAGGCTTTGTTAACTGATGATGTAGGGAATCAGAAGTGTATAAAAGGTTCCACAGTTCATTTCTCTCCAAGGCACATGATTATGGTGTGCAGAATGAATGTTCAGCTTTAGTCATCTATCCGCACAATTCCTGTGCGGCTTATCCGTTGATCACCTAACGCATATGAAGTAAATGGACAACGAGCAGGCGGGTGAGAATATGCTTTGTTACATGCTACTGGCTATAATTTGTAGCTGAATTAACTTCCATTGGTGTGCTATTTGCAAGGCCACATGAAAACGGGAATACAAAGTGGATTTTTCGGACGCCTGTTGGTTTGCTGTTGTTTCACGCGATATAGCAGCTCTTTGGGCTTTTACTATATGAAGTTGGTTAGAGTCAGTGTTCCACTTTAGCTGGTTTTATTATCTTGTCGTTGGAAGGATGACACTCAGTTCTTTCAAAATCACGCTCTTGGTAGCACAATTTATTCTGTCTATGAAAATATACCCATGTTGTTTTCACTACTGAGAAACAAAAACGTACTCAAATCGATACGAACCTACATTTCCAACCCGGGCATCCACGCAGCAATATGCCCAGGTGTTTTCTGATCCTAGTGATCGGTTTGCAAATGTTTCGTCACCAACCGAATCTACATCGCGAGTGAATGACAGGGTCCACAGTTCTTCCATAACTGTCTGATAGTATGCGTTGAGCTAGAGAGTGCTCAACTGTCCGCTGTATTCCCAGAATATGCCCAAAAACATATTCTGACTGAAAACATAGTTGTTGCATAAAGTCTGACGTTACCAATCCACATGGAACCTAAGGCGAGGCAGGTATTCCAAAAGCTGGGAGCGTTAACGGTGAATGGCGATACGGATTTGAGTGACTACTATTCAGCAAATCGACTGTACTGCACATTAACTTGGATTTTGACCATCCATTACTCATGGTTGAGACAACACAATGAGTAAAAACAAATCTTCGATCCGAGCAAACCAAGATCGACTGACCTCAATTTGTACAAGTCCTAACACATGTTTGGCCATTCACAACCACGCATTTCTAAATAATGTCGAAACGTTTTGAAAGTAGCGGTTGATGCCTATGATATAATAATAACCAACAGTCTGGAAGTAATAAACCAAATATCCCTCGGATTAATGCAACCCTTTTCGACGGCCTACCGGGAGCTTTACTTAAAGGGATTATGTGCCACGTGAAATACGAGATTATTAACCACGCGTTTCGCAAATACTAAAACGCCACGTTGCAACACCAGAATCCTGGCTGTGATCGGCAAGTGCCACCAAACCTTTTCAACACCTTCTTTCCTTGTTTTTCAAGTTCCTTATCGCCTTCCAATACTTTCGCGAAGATATCCGGTTTGACATCCTGAAACAAATAAACACGAATAATAGATTATTTCTTTGACAATGGCGTTCTTCGCGCTCATCTTAACCATCAATTTACATTCTATCAATTAAGAGAAATCTGGTATCTGGTCTCTATGTTCGCTCAAATTTTGTTGTTGTTGTTGAATGATGAAAACCTAAAACTTGATTGTTGATGAATTTGCCCAGCAAGGCATTGTGATCATACAGGTTGCCAAGAGGAACTCTGATTGAAATCAATAGCCAATGCTGACTCAGTGCACGACAATGGCGAATCCAGGAGGCACCGCAATGTCCAGAAGATAGTCGACACAAACATTTCATGAACGAAGCTCTGTATTTGGTTTCGAACAATAATACACGTTGCTCCTTTGAAAAGAACGCCAGCTTCGAAGGTTCAGATCGAAAACTAAGCTGTGAAAATACCGTTAATACACTAAAGGCGTACTTGCTAGGCCGCAAGCAGAAGTGAAAAATCGGTCGTGGACTGCTTGGGAGTTTTCTATCACCTTATGACTAGTGTTTGTTCAAGCAAATTAACCGTTCTAGAAGGCAGTGAATCTGGTTAGTCTGTTCTACGATTACCATTGTAATCTTATACGCAGTAACATGTTACTTCCACCTTGTGTCGCACATTGAACAAATTCATTTAGAGTAGTAAATCCAAACCTGTTATCAACACTGATTCGCTGCATCAGTTTCCGGATGCGTATATCTCAAATTTTTCGGCTGCATAATTTTCACGAGTCGTGGAACACTTTGCCTTTAAACGGATTGCTGAAATAAAAAATGAGGAGACGCAGTGACCTTTACGGAGAAAAAAATTACACAGAGTCCGAACGGAAAGAAATATAAGAAAATGAAATGCTGTTAGAAGTTTGCTCCCGGTCTTGTTATTGAATAAGCTTTCGTGACGATAAGTGCACCCTGTGTCACACATTCGATGAAGTCTAAACAAAGGATCTTTATCGCAATACTGGTGTATAGATCCCACAAAGATCCGGGTACGTAGGCAGCATAGAACATTACACATTTTTGGGTGAAAAGGTAGTAGGTTTATTTGAATATACGGCCAAACAACACTAGTAACATATTACATGAGCATACCCCCACCCAGTGTCCGTGAATGTAATTCGATTGGACAGTAAACGACTTACGATTATTGAAAACTCGAAGCAAGCATTAAGTGCCATGAATGGTATATCTCAATTGGCGCGCAAAAACGCAGTTTTCTCCAATCTGATTCTATTCACGATTTATACCCGTAAATGGGAGAAATTGAAGCCAACTAAAGAAAAGCGATTTCTGCAGTCTAGTTAACAGCAGACTATCAGACTAGATAATATCAGATGGCAAACATTTTACATGGTACTTGTAGCTAGTGAGCCTCGAGCTGAAAATATGTTGCATCTGGGTCTTTCAGAGAGAGAGATTTGACCTCACAGACTGCTGACCGTTTGTGCGCCTCAACAACACACTTAGTAGTGTATATGCAACATTCATAGAGCCTTTCACTCCAGGTTGGTGATTCACGCAAGACGTGGTACGTGTGGAAAACGTTCGCCTGAAGTGAAATACCAATGGTAGTTATGTTGCGAAATTTGGATAAGGCAAGCGGAGTGCCTAGGATCATGCATTTATGGTGGAATATCAGTTCGTTATAAAGAATTTGCATGCATTTTTCCTGTACAATAATTTGAATGTATCTCACTCACGTGTGCTTCCGTTACCTAACTGCTGGAATTAGGACACGGCAACTACCTAGTCAGATACTTGCCCGTTGCGTGAAGGTATTAATCGATGGCAATAAATGACCTATTATATCTGTAAGGGCGGATACCATTGATTGGGCATTCGATTCGATTGTTGACCTCTCATAGCTCCATTAACTTTGGTGCGTACAGAACAAATGTTATAACGCACGGACCACGGTGGACGCCTGAATTAGTTACATGTTGAACACAGGCGGGAGTAACTTCCGGAACAACCAAACACGCCTCGCCGTATGACGCCCGTTTTCAAAACCAACCGGCAGCACAGACGTACCACTTCGACATTAGATGTATGTGGCGTCGCTCGTAATGCGGCATCTGTGTAAACCCAGATCAAATGTTTTTTCGTCGCATGATTGCTGTGCTTCAATGATGATTTCACCTCGGACCCTGAAATCAATGGTTTGGGATTTTTGATCGAGATTTTTTCTTTTATCTGAAGCTTAGCTTTGCCAACACATCCAGATTCATCATCCGATTGATGCATCCGTATTGAGAATTATCACTAATTCAAGCTTTTCCGGGGAGTCAGTAACCCGTTACTCCTCGGCAATCACTAGGTAGCTGTGCCGATTGACCACCAGCAGCTGATTAGTTTGCGCCGCATACACCTGGGGAGGCGCTTGGATGGGGATTTCCCCAAGAAAGGAAAACATCTTAATTCGTCGAGAGTGTAGTAAATCCAAACCTGTTATCAACACTGATTCGCTGCATCAGTTTCTTCGGACACCATCACATGAGACAAGTTCCGTTCATGGCCAATAAATCAGCCCTCATGAAATGCTTTCGTGATAATCCGTCAAAGCTGACTGTCTAACATCTCGTGAATAACAAACTGTGGTTATTTTGCATCAAAATTGTGTGAATTCAGTGCGAAAATTTATCCCGAGAGTGCATTGCTGATTGGTCCGGATGCGAAAATCTCAAATTTTTCCGAGTGTTGCGCATTATTGGCCGCATAATTTTCACGGTTTTCATTCTCCATCAACATTCAATGTTCTTCAGGAACAGCTGCTCATGCAGGTGAGAATAAAAATCAAACGAAATTTTCCATCACAACAATGTATTTTCTCATGAACCTGAAATAGGCTTTTCGTGGGCGCGGAGAAAACGTCTAAACAATCTGAGTTTATTCGATGAGGCCGTAAGTGAACTTAACTATCACCGAGGCATTAGCTTGACTTTCCTTGTGACAAGAACGTTTTGTGTGCCTAAATTATGCCGTTTTACGAGGACGTTCGAAGGCAGAGCCCAAGTACAGGTAGCGGGTTTCCAGGCTTCCCGGGGTTGTGTGGGCCACAGCTTCAAATTCGTGAAGTGTGAGAATTATGACATGCGCACGCACTAAATCTTCGATAGAGACACATTCAAAATGCGGAACCGTTTTGCATAAGATTTTTATATAACCCAACCCAAATACGGCATGAATGAACGGGTGAATTCAATCACAGGAGTATTCTATGTGTTTATATCAAATAAACACCATTTGATCTTACCAAGTATTGAAGAATTATTTCTTGAGATTTCTGGATCAGATCAATTTAGGTGACGGTAATGTGGAGCCTAGGAAAGCTTTTATAATATGATGATGCTACAAAAGCAACGTTAGATGATAAGTGGTTACTTAGAAATCATTTTCGCTTTGAATTTTCATGCTTTAAGCAAGAACATACCTTACCTCACAGCCAGTGATTTCAGCTAACATAACGCAACATAAAACACTTTTGGGTGACTAAGTGGTAACGTGGTATGCACTTCAGTACCATCTGCGTTCAACAGTTCCGTGAAATCAACCCCACGCAAAATATCGTAGCGAGACTAGGAAACGCTTTCGGAAACAAAAACAGGCCAAGAAAGGTTTACCCGTTATTTGTGGATTTGATCAACCGTCTTTTTCAGTTAAACCTCACAGCGATATAGATAATTAGGTAGAACACAAATGTTTGGGGGCCCGTTAGTGCAAATTTCCTTTTCGGAAACATTTTAAGTGGAAGTTAGAAAAAATTGGGGGATCAAAACAATAAAACATCAACTGAAACATACTTGATGTCGATAATTCATCCAAGTTTTAGAACCAGCGATAATTACGGCCCAGTTATTTGACGGCTTGTTGTTAAATATTAATGACCAATTCTGGGCATCCCCGGCCTTCACCCATGCAACATGGTGGACGCAGTACAAGAGCGCAATGGGAAGCAGACAACGACACATCATTTTCAGCCTTACTTGAGGCTGCATACGCCCGGAATTTTATACTATGCGCCGCTTCTTAATCGGACTTTGCCTTACACGTGTATGCCCATAGTGTGAAAACCTATCCACCACAAATCTAATTGCGCTGCGGTACAAAGTTTTGCTAACCAGGGTAACATCGACCGTTTTGATCACGTTGTTCAGTGACTGACTAGTTGCGCAATTGCTTCGAAGAAAATACACACATTGGTAATTTGTGGTGTTTTTAGGACAAATGTGGATCATTACATTGAGCATGCGCTCCAGACACTACTGGACAACCAACTGAGTCCTAAAAACGGTTTCACGTAGTAGCTGGCTTTATACGCACATTCGCTCACAACGGTGGTCCACAGTGTCATTTTTGTATTAAAAACCACCAGAGGAATTTTTGTGTTTGCAGTAGGTCAGTTTGAATTTTGACGAGTCATTTGGACTCTTAGATTTAACTTCTCAGAAGCTGAATGTTCACTCACTGCCTAGATTGCTGGTCACATGGACCTTTTGATTAGCATTAGTGGGTGAAGTCGAAATTCAGGCGAAACATTGAGTCGAGGAATTTACTCTTCTCTATGGTCTTAGTTTGAATTAAATTACAAGGACCCGGAAGTTAAAGCACTGGATGGCGTCTCTCGAACCAGAGAAACGTTGCTTCGATATTCCACCACTTACTGTAATCTTTATTTTCGATTTTTGGAATAGGGTTGCGCGCAGCAAGATTTTCTTTTCTAGATCGATCAGCAAAAGACGATAACGCAGTGCAAGATTCAATAGAATTTCTCGTTGTAATGAATGCGCACTTCAGATTTTAAGGCGCCTACCCCAACATGGTGAGCATTTCGAATTGCGGGCGTCTGAAGTTTACTTCACTCTATGTGCTTTGATTTTCACGACTTCCTGTAAGAAGTGGACTCACCAGTTTCCGGTGTCGTGTTCGCTTACGTTCATATGTCCAATCATCCCAGCTCTAAAGTTGAAAATAATTTGCTGAAATTCA